TGGAAGGCAAAAATGCCTATAACAGTCTCCTACAGCCTTGGGTCCCAGAGCTAACCCTGAGGGTTTCACAGACTCCCCCACTCCTTCTTGCCCATGGTAGCCCTTTGAGGATGTGCTTAGCAGCATGTCCTCCCCCAATCAGATCATCTTTGGGCCAAATAACCCAAGATCTTCTTCTAGAGAGTTGGATATTCATTCTGTTTTCTTGTTTGTGAGACACACAATCCATCTAATGGTGTCTTTTTTGGGAAAGAAAAGTAACTTTGTGCTCTTCTGGTAAGATAGCAGAATAAGCAGACAAGCTACAAAGACTCCCTCCTGGAGCCCTTAGCTTTGAAAGTATGGATATAGAAGAGGATCAAAAACCAACTAGTAGAAGAACCTGAATGAAAAAAGTGAATAAGGAGACAAATTGAGCTGAGGACTATCAGCTATCTTAACAGCACAGACAGTTTGAATATTTCCAAGCGGTGTTAGGACCTGGGAATTAATGTGCAAATCAGCCCTGCTTGCCAAGAGCTGCATGGACAACTTCCCTGGTTCTTGATGACTAAAAAGGGAAACAGCAAGAAGGGAGAAAAACTGCGTTGTGCACTTTCAGCTGTCCAGAGGGTGCAGCCATTTTGAATATTTACAAGTGCAGCCATTTTGGATATTTAAAGCAACAGGACTCTCGTTCAGATTCCTGGGACCTAAGAGTAGATTCTGCTTGCAAAGGAGAGCACACACATATGCTAGCTGATGACTGGAAAGGAGACAGGTGGTGAGTGCAAAAGTGCTGCCAACTGGTGAATAGAGGAGCACAGTATCCTGCTTACTCAGATAACATCCAAAGAAAATGAAAGTTTTGGGCAAATCACTTCAACATACAATCACCAATTAAATATAAACACAAAACATTTAAAAAGTCAAGGAAAGGTTTATATATGGAATAAAACTTTCCTTTTTCTTTACCAGGGGTGGGAGGGAAGGGGAGGGAGCACTGGTAGATAGGTAGAGACATGTATTGATTAGGGTGAAGGGAAGGGCAATGCACCAAATGTGAGTGATCAACACAGTGGCATTGAGGAAGAGGAAGACATAGAGAGGTACATGGGAGATACAGACATCATCCATCACATAAATAAAACAAAGGAAACCAACCACATGATCGTATCAATAGATGCAGAAAAGGCATTTGATAAAATCCAACACCCATTCCTGATAAAAAACTCTCAGCAAAATCAGAATAGAAGGGACATTCCTCAACATAATAAAGGGCATCTATGCACAACCAACAGCCAACATTATTCTCAGTGGAGAGAGACTGAAACCATTCCCCTTGCAAACAGGAACCAGACAAGTATGCCCTCTATCACCACTTCTATTCAACATTGTATCAGAAGTCTTAGCTTAGGGCAATAAGGCAAGAAAGGGAAATCAAAGGCATCCAAATTGGTAAGGAAGAAGTCAAACTATCCCTATTTGCTGATGATATGATCCTATACATAGAAAATCCAAGAGACTCAACAAAAATGCTACTGGAACTAATTGAGAGATTTAGCATAGTGGCAAGATACAAGATCAACATCCAAAAATCAGTTGGATTCCTGTACACCAACAAAGAGATTGCTGAAAAGGAAATAAGGAAATCGATTTACAATAGTTACCAAAACCAATAAAATACTTGGGAATAAATCTCACTAGGGACACGAAAGACCTGTACAAAGAAAACTACAAATCACTCCAAGAAACCATAAGAGATCTACATAAATGGAAGAACATACCATGCTCATGGGTAGGAAGATTGAACATTGTGAAAATGTCAATACTACCAAAGCAATTTATACATTCAATGCAATCCCAATCCAGATCCCATCAACATTCTTTAAAGATATGGAAAAAAACAATCATGAATTTTATATGGAAAAGAAAGAGACCTCAAATAAGCAAAGCACTATTGAAGAAGAAGAACAAAGTAGGAAGTCTCACACTCCTGGATCTCAAAACCTCCTATACAGCCATAGTAGTCAGAACTGCCTGGTATTGGAACAATGACAGACACATAGACCAGTGGAACAGTATTGAGAACCCAGAAATAGATCCATCTACCTGGGGTCAGCTGATTTTTAACAAAGGGCTGAAATCCATTACATGGGGAAGAGATGGTCTCTTTAACAAATGGTGCTGGCAAAATTGGATATCCATTTGCAGAAAAATGAGACAAGATCTGTACCTCACACCATGCAAAAACACTAACTCAACAACAACAACAAACCTATAGACTGGTGGGGAAAAACTTTGGGAATATTATAACTGATAAGAATTTAATATCTAAAATACATAGAAAATTTAAAAACAAAAAGACAACCCAATTGAAAACTGAGCAAAGGACATGAACAGACACTTCACCAAAGAAGATAGTCAAAGAGCCAACAGACACATGAAAGGTGCTCAAAGTCATTGGCCATCAGAGAAATGCAAATAAAAACCACAACAAAATTCCATTTCACTCCCACTAGGATGGCTAAGATAAACAAACAAAGGAAAATAACAAATGTTGGAGGGGATGTGGAGAAATTAGAACCCTCATCCATTGCTGGTGGATATGCAAAATGGTACAGCCATCGTGGAAAACAGTCTGGCAGTTCCTCAGAAAACTAGAGGTAGAGCTACCATATGACCAGCAATTGCAGTCCTAAGTATAAACCCTAGGGATCTAATGGAACTGGCATGGACAGGTATATGCACACCTATGTTCACTACAGCACTATTCACAATAGCAAAAGGATGGAAACAATCTAAGTGTCCATCAGTGGGTGAGTGGATAAGTAAAATGTGGTACATATATATAATGGAATACTACTCAGCAAAAAAGAAAAATGAGTTTCTGAGACACCTTACAATGTGGATGAACCTGGAGGACATTATGTTGAATGAAATAAGTCAATCACAATAAAGCAAATATTGTATGTTTTTATAGGAGTGCTGGTGGCATAGTGCCTATGGTATTTGACTGCTAACCAGAAGCCTGGTGGTTCAAATGCACCATCCACTCCTCGGAAGGAAGACTGGTGTTCTGGTTACCTAGTGCCACTCTGACAAGAATATACCACAAATGTGATGGCTCTAACAAACAGGAGTTTATTCTTACAATTTGGAGGCTTTAAGTCTGAGTTCAAAGTGCCAGGCTCTAGGGGCTGGGTGAAAACCCCTCAACCTTGGGGTCCAGCTCTGCCTCCTGCTCCTGGCCCACTGGAACTAGAGGCATTTCTTCACTCAGACAGCTGCTGGCTGCTGAGGCTGACAAACCCAAGGTTGGCTAGTAAAAAGGCACAGTCCCGATGTTACCAAACCACACGGCAGGCCATTAATTTAAGTCCATTGTAAGTCCCAAAGTTGGCAGAGCATGGCAGGCTGCTGAACAATGACATGGCTACATGCAGGGTCCAAACGTGCCATAAGCTAGAGACCATTCCCAAAGCTGTTTCTTATATATGGGAAGCAGACTACATACCCAAAGTAGATACTCAGCTGGTTGTGGGAGATCCCTTCATGGAGTTGATTGCCAGTCTCATCATGGGGAATAACTACTACCAGCTGCCCAGCCACTCAACCAGGCCCAGACAAGCTGACACACAAACATAACCACCACAGCTGGGTAATCTACTTCCATAGAGATACCACCTCAGAAACCTAAGGAGGGGTCACTATGAGTCAGATTTGACTCCATGGCAGTGAGTTTGGTTTTTTAGTTTTGTATGTTCTCACTTTTATGAAATGACATGAATAGGTAAATATACAGTAACTAATGCTCATTAGAGGTTACCAGTAGTGGGGACGAGAAAAGAGGGAGAAGTACTCCCTGGGTGGTAGTCACTTTTCATTTGTAGATATGGGAAAGTTGGCACCAAATATGGGTGAGGTTTACACAGCATGACTGATGTAAATGATGTCAATAGCTGTACACAGGGAAAAGGGATGAATGGACAAATGCTGGGTTGTGTATGGTTTTGCAATAACAACAACAATTACAAAAAAATGGAGGGCTACAGATGCTGATACTAATTAGACACAACCAATCACACCATGGGATTAGTCCTCTTGGTTTGGGGGATTAGGGCTATGGTTTTGTGGAACAATCCAATCAAATGGCGTAATAGAGTTTTTAAAGTTATGTTCCACCTCGTAGAATGGCAAGTACTACCTATGGTTCTTAAAAGGTTATGAGTGATCATCTAAGATACAACTATTAGTTGGATTGTGGACTTGCTTGCATGAGCTTTTCTTTCCCTCCAATTTCTCACATTTATAATAGAAATGTCGACTCTGTGTTTGTCCCACCATTGTACTTTGGAAACAAGTAACTTGTATTCTAGGTTTCACAGGTTCACTAATGGAGAGGAATTTTGTCCTAAGATGGGGTATGTCCAACAAATCTTACCCATGCTTGATGTAGATGATTTAGAAGATGAGATTTTGGACTTGAAATTGATTGAAGACATTTGGGGTCGTGTGATAGGGTGAATGTGTTTTGTATGTGGGAAGGATATGAATTTGGGGGGATGGGGCAAAGGGTGGAATATTATGGATTTGTGTCACCAAAAAATATGTGTTGTAAATCCTAACCCCTATATTTAAGACGTAAGAGCCAAAGAGAAGAAAACAAACTTCTGGAACCAAATAAATTTACTCCATGTCCCCTATGCTCCCTGATGGAGTCCTTGGGTGACTAAAATGGTTGATACATTTGGCTAGATAGAGGTTTGAGTCCACCCTGAGATGCCTTGGAGGAAATGCCTGGTGCTCTGTTTCCAAATAATCAGACACTGAAAATCTTATGAAGCACAGTTCTACTCGGACACAAATGGGGTCACCATGAGTTAGAATCAACTCAGCAGCAACTGATTTACTGGTTTTGCCCCCTGACAAGCTGTGCTGGAGTAGAGCTGCTCCCTGGGAGCCCTTGGGACCCTCTTACAGGTGTGGACTTGGGAACAGGGAACAGGAAAATTACTTACCCACTGGTAGGTCCTCAGGCAGGTTCACTGCTGTCATGTTTGGCAGGAAACTTGGGGCCATGTTGGCTGCCACTACAGAGAGACAGGGTGCTGAAACATCTGGACCTGCCTGCAATGTCTGACCCTCATTTGCCTCTCCAGAGCCCACTCCAGTGGCAACCCCAGCCCACCCACATAGAAGGGAATCCCTCCCCAGATTTCCCAGGGCAGCCAAGCACAGGGGCTGGGTCATAGGAGCTGGGTGTTTATTGATGACCAATTGTCCCATCCCTTCAAAAGGGTCCCGTGAAGGGTACCCAGTTTAAGGTTGCTCTGGCAGGGGAGAGGAAGCACCTACCAGACACCACAATGGCAGGAAGCAGGATGCAGGATAGCCATGGCCACGCCATCACATCTGGAAGGACCTAGGGAAGGATACTTTAGGGAGAAGTGCCTGGACCTAGACCTCTCTCCCTCTGGCAGGCTGTCATCTGTTTGGGTCTGCCCCACAAGACTCATCCACCACCACCACTCAGCAATTCCTACAGGACCTCTCCTTGGGTCATACAGGCTTATCATCCACTGTCCATTTTCCAGATGTTGGGGGGTGGCACATTCCAAGTGGGGGTGAGCAGACAGCAGAGCTCAGTCCAGAACCCTAGTCTCAGCTTGAACCTGAACTTGACTCCAGGGTTCAGCACCCATGCCCTGACAGATGCTGTTCTAAAGAGGTTAGATGCATTATTTCATTACCCCTACAACTATGAGGTGGCTGTTATTGTCCTATTCTACAGATGTGGAAACTGGGGCTGAGAGATTAAGGGGCTTGCCTGAGGCCACACTGAGAACCAGTGACAAGACCACAATTTGAACATAGGTCTTTTGGACTCCAAAGTGTCCACCGTGATAGCGTCCTTCAAAATCAGGGGAGATAAGAGGGACAATGACCTGACTAGGATCATCCAGAGACTCCATGGATGAGCCAGGGTCCTTTGTCCTACTTTCTGACACATTTAATAGCTGCCATTTCAACCATTTCCAAAGTGTGCTCCATGGAACCCTGGCACTGTAAGATGCTCCACAGCCGAAGGGGGTTTCCTGGTGCAGTCAGATTGGGAAGGGCTATATAATCTATGTTCTTCTTGGTAATTCAGAGCTAAGCAAGGACCCTTGGTAAACTTTGCCTGGCCCTGGCTTTTTGGCCATCTCATGTTGTAAGCTGTCTTTCATCTGAGAAAAGGGGGACTGACTCATTGTCACTGAGAGATCTGAAACTCCAAGGATTTTTCATCCCCAAAGATAATTGATATAAATTACAACTAAGAAAGGGGGAAAACAGCATACGTTATTGAAGTGTTCTGTTTCTTGCCCTCTGTAAAA